ATTGACCAGTCCTTGAACCAGGGACCCTACGGTTGTGAGTCAACTGCTTTCCAGCTGAGCCACAGCACACACGCTGAATCTACCTGAAAACACTGAATCGTATTTATTCCTGTATTTATTCATTTATTTATTCATGTTTTTATTCCTACTTTTATTTATGCTTTTATTTTTTTATTTATACTTATGACATGTTCCGACCTCACAGGGCTGCCGACACTCACGTATTGAGCGTGAGAGTCACGCAATTAACCCACATCTCACGCACTCACGCCACACTTGCCTTTTCTCACGCTAAATTTTCGTCCAAAATACATGTATATAAATACAAAAATAAAGTGAAGGAACAGCAAACCGAGAGGTCTACGAAATGAGACGGTCTTCTGGCTTCGTTCAGTAAAGTTGGAACGATATTGGGAGATTCTGATTTCACGGATCAATAACTCACGAACAAAACGTTGTTCAGACACAAAGTACGTCTCCTAAGTACCGTGGTAAGGTTGACAACGAACTACAATCACATTTTGATTAAAAAAAGCCAATACGCGCCGTCCTCCGAGCTGGACACATTACATTGGTCTCTATCTGCAGCCGGAGAAGAAACGAGTGCTCAGGGACCGTCTGCAAAGTGCAACTCCCAAAAAAGAGAATACAATAATATTCAATCACTATTATACAGCTTATTACTACCAAACTCACCACACACATCAATAGTCTCCTGTGTGTCATACTACACAGCAAGGGGTTTGGAAGAATATGCTTTTGAATAATTTTGGGGAATATTAGAATCTTCAATAAATATGGCATCATCTTCAATAACTTTATTATTATACAGTATATTTCTACCAAACTCACTATTTGCATTGTTGTTGTTAGCATCTGGTTAGCTTAACGGATATTAGAAGCTGTTTCTAAAACAAGGAGAGGGAGAGCTCTGCCCTGTCAGACTGAGAGAGATAACTACAGCTCAGTGAGGTAAGGGACTCTCTGTTTAGATAGTTAACTTTAGTCTAGTTATCTCAGTGGGTCTCAAACGGTTTGGTCACCATTTATGAGAATAAATGAAATACTATATGACAGTAAAACAAGAATACAGTTTAAAAGGTGAGTGATTTGTAAAATATCCATAAAGAAAAAGAGAATCTGCTTACCATAAATTAATTTAGCTCTCAAAGTGCACCAGGTTGATGCATTTAACTTCAATATTTAAAATATATATATATTTCCCGGGGGAGCATGCCCCCGGACCCCCCTAGAGGAGGTGAGGACCCCCCCCACACTTATAAAATAGCACTTGACCTCTGCTTACACCTATATGCCATTTGATATGCTGTGAGCTGATTATCGAGCCTTCATTTTAACGGCCCGTCCACACAGCGGCGTGCGTTGACGCTTCACCATTCACTTTGAATGGGGTGACGTCACTTTTCACCGAACTGCATCGTGGGAAGAGACGCGGAGCGTTACTGGCGTGGCTCGCTGCAAAAGTTGAGCAATGTTCAACTTTTGACGCCTCGGCAGAAGCGTCAGCCAATCGAATCATATGCCAGTACAAGCTCTAGCCAATCAAACCGCTGCTTGTGTGTCCGGGGCGGGAGATTCATGTGATTGGTTGTTGGTCGAGTTTCAGACACGCCCGCCCACAAGCGTCAACGCACGCCGCTGTGTGGACGGGCCGTAACGGAGCCTACACACGGCGGCGTGCGTTGCCGCTTGGCGGTGGGGTGTCTTGAGCTTGGGGAGTCAACCCGAGCAACGCGACCAACAACCAATCACATGAATGTCCCGCCCCGGACATACAAAGCAAAGCATTCATGCTACATCCATGCTGGCTAAATATACTGTCTATGCTTGCTAGCTGTCCATTCAAACGAAGTACACTGGCTATAAACTCCCCAAACAAGCGAAAACCTACCAGTTTCACCCACTGTCTCTGCCACCTCCCCCCATGCCTGGCTCCTCCGGTTTGTATCCCTGTATGTAAAGAGGGACTGGTCATATAGTACCGCCACGATAATTTCTCCTCCATTTTTTGACATATGGGAAATAACTGCGGTCTGGCTCTCCCAACATACACGCGGTTTGATTGGCTAGCGCTTGTGCTGTCAGATTTGCATACGCGGGATTTGATTGGCTGACGCCTCCGTCGAGGCGGCAAAAGCAGAACATTGCTCTACTTTTGCAGCGAGCACCGCGAGAGAAGCTACGCTTTGCTCCCACAATGCAGTTCGGCGAATCGTGACGTCACCCCATTCAAAGTGAATGGGCAGAAGCGTTGAAGCGGCAACGCACGCCGCCGTGTGTAGGGGCCGTAAGAGTCGCGGGTACACTGTGTATGTGCGTATTCCACTGTAGCGCCCGGTACATTAATGGGAAACCCTAGTTTGTACATGTTCAATACATTTGTAACACTGTACACATGAACGTTTATTTTTTTGGTTCACCAAAAAAAAAATCTCACTCCAAGCTGAACTCAAATGTTGGCAGCCCTGCTCTATATAAGTGAGGGTCTGAGCTCTCTTAATTCCATCGTGTCATCGGGCCCGGGTACATGAGGGATAATATCGTTCTTATTATACATCCATGGGTAATATGCATGGCTGTATAATAAGAACGGTAATAATATGCATATTATGAGCGTTGTGGTTCAACCGATCTGAATCGCTTCCTGAAGCAGTCACGGGGTAGCCTATCGATGGGTATTTTGAATTTTTTATTTTGACTTGAGCCGTCCCTTTATAGATGCTGTCTTTTTACGTTAGTGAGCCGGATCATTTGGCTCGGCTCTCTTAAAGCGCCGGCTGTTCCGGCTCCCAAACAGCTCTTCATGTTACCACAGTTTACCACAGAGCCTCAGTTTCGCCGCTGCGAGGCTCTGGTGCTCGCAGCTCACGCGCGTGCTCTACTAAAACCCCCCCGCTCTACTAAAACCCCCTCGCTCATCGCGTCCAAATCGCGCACGTTCCGTGTTGTCCTGTAGCAGGCAAGGGTGTAACTTTGGTTTGAGAAGTGGGAGGGACACAAAACGGGGGGTCCTCCGCAATGACATTTGTTTCTCGATTTTAATTCCATTTTCTGCCTTTCTACAAATATATTAGGGACTATGGTGTTAACAAATCCAAGAAAGATGTGTAGTGTATATAATGAGGAGAATATTTTTGTCTTTAAATGTAAGTTGAAAGCATCGATCTGGTGCATTTTGAGAGCAAAATTAAGAGATTTATATAGATACAGCTTTCAACACCCATATGAAACAGAACTGTATATATTTCAATACTCCAAAAACCATTAGAATATGCTCACAAGCAATAACACATCATTGATAAACTCCTCTCTCCTATCTTTATCTTACCTAGTCTGCATTCTTTCTTTTTAAATGAATATTTTACTAATCACTCCCCTTTTAAACTGTGTTTTGTTTTTTACTGACATTGGAATGAGTTCTTAAAGGTGGGGTAGGTAATGTTGGAGAAACCAGCTCGAGTGCGCTAGAATTTGAAAATACACAGCCGGAAGAAATCTGCTACTTCCTTACAGAGCCCCTCCTCCAACACACACGAACGCGCACATGACCAATGAGGGCACGAGATAAGTTTGTGCACAGATGGAAGGCTGACAGGCAGGTAGGCCATCCAGTTATTGCAGGAACACATGTATTTACTTAGTACATATCTGATATTAACAATTAAACACATTTGTGCATTCTTTATAAATGCAAACCGAGTCAAGCCGACTCTGGAGACACCTCTGGAGATCAGAAGAAAGAAACTTGCTCCGTCGTCAGACTACAAGGAAGTGGAGAGGAAAATATCACAAACAGATTGCTGGGAATATGCAAAGTTCCAGGGGCGTGGGTTTGGCTGGACGAGTAAGGAGAGAACGAGGGCATGTGGAGTGGAGACCATCACGTTTGCCAAAGCAAGCCCATTTAGCCGTGTTCCCCCATGGCTGTTCCCAGAAGCTAACATAGATGGGAGTATCATAGAAAGAAAAGAAAAATGATGTACCTGAACGAAAAGTTTTACAATTACCTCAACATTTATACAGATGGATCTAAGAAGCAAGAATGCGTGGGGATAGGCGTGTATATCCTAGAATTCAAAATATCAATCTCAAAACGAGTGTCACATAACTTATCAGTTTATACAGCAGAAATACTAGCAGCAATTATTGGGCTACAATGGGTTGAAGAGGTCATTGGGTGATATGGTGGTGATATGCACAGACTCACTATCTGCTTTGGAAAGCTTACAGTCCACAATAACAGTTAGAAAAGATGTAATCATTGAACTTAACCACTGCTTACTATGACTTCAGAGGACGGGAGTAGATGTGCAGTTATGCTGGGTGCCTGCACATGAATGAGCATGCTGATAAGTTAGCAAAAATATGCGTTACAGAAGGAAATGGCAAAACCAGTTTCACTTGGAAAAGGAGAAGGAAAAGCAATAGTTAAGAAGAAGGGTATGGAAATATGGCAGAAAAGGTGGGAGGGAGATCAGAAAGGGAGGAGATACCACAAGCTGCAGAAATCAGTCATAACAAAGAGAAAGGAACAGACGGGAGGAGATCACCATCACTCGACGCAGATTGGATCATACAGGATTTAACGGCACAATGTTTATAATGGTAAAAAGTGAAGTTGAAGAATGCAGGGGGTGTGGAGTGAAAGAAAATGTGGAACACATTATATAACACTTCAACATGTGCAAAACAGAGAGGGAAAAACTAAGAGACAGTCAGAGAGGCAGGAAGGGAGTGGAGCCTGATGGGGACACTGGGAACAGAAGGTGAGGGGGTAAGATCTACCAGGAAGGCTATTATTAAGTATTTGAGTGAAACAGGATTGATTGGAAGAATTTAAAAGAACGTAAATACAGTGGTATAATTCCAGAAGTGGTGATAGGGTGATATAGTGATACACACTCTTGTACAGTAGGTGGCGGTATGCACTTTAAAGTTGTTTGCAATCCGCCAAAAACCGAAAGAAGAAGAAGAAGCCGACTCCAAGCTGTCCGACTTCAGGCGAGCTTTTTGAGACCTCCCCCGGCTGCAATCGGCTATTCTCGTCTATTTTCAGGGCGAGCCGCAGCTCGTCTCAAACAAGCCTATTGACTTTATTGGGATATATAAACCAATGAAGTATGTGGTCGTTTAAGAGTTGCACTGTTATTGGTGGCTTCCCAGCCCCTTCACAACATTTCATGTTGATGGAACTGCTGTGGTCCAATGAATGCGTCGGCGGAATATCTGTGATTGGTCCAATGTACGGTTGTGGGCGGGATGTGTTGATGTTTTGTGATGGGAGATAAAATGGCGACGGTTCGGAAACCGTATTAACTTGATAACATACTAGTAATAACCGCTGCAATCACGTATGCCCCTTTTTGTCTCAGTCCATTAGAACGATGTATATGTTACTATTTGAATACGACTTCAGGCCATGTTGAATTTGCTGTCGATATCAGCAGGACTTACATTAGCTGGACACGACTTGGAATTGTGAAGGCAAGGAACAAAGCGCGAGTATTCAGACTAACTTGATTTTATGTCAATGATCCTTCCATTCAGTGCTGGGACTCTACTGAAATGTGCCTCTTTAAATGAGCCGGGCTGAGTAATGCTTCCCATATCCAGCCGGAATTGTTTTAGTGTGGGGAAACGTTAGACAAGCTGCGATTAACGTCACCGTTAGAGGAATTTGAAGGCTCTTCTAAGACAACTAATAGCTTATTATCATCTCAACAAGTAGAATAATCACAAGTTATTCACTTTGTTTGTTACTTAAGCTAAATTGGCTGACCATTGTTGTGAACACATGCCGTCCAGCTGCTTGCTTTCTCTCCCATGGAGCCGCGCGGCACGGCGGGAAGCTTGAGTCCGCTCGGCTCCTCCGATGGCTCTGCCTTAGCTTCGCGTTTGTTAGGATAGAGCAGCTATCCACTGATAATGGATGAATCCAAGCCAAGGTGCAGCAAAAGGCTGGTAAGTTAAATTGGATATGGCCACGTTGGATTTATAAATGAATGTTCAGTATGGGGGATGTGTGCTTTTGTTTACACTTTTTATTTACTGTATAGTATTACTACTCAGATACTGTACGTAAAAGTACTAATACCACATTTTAAACATACTCCTGTAGAAGTCCTGAGCTCAAAATGTGACTTAAGTTAAAGTACAGAAGTATTATCAGCTATGTACTCAAGTATCAAAAGAATATTCATTTTGCAGAATGGCTGTTTTTAAAGTCTTGTATTATTATAAAAAAAGTCATTTCTAATGTTTTTATTATTATAAAATACATATACATGTAATAACATTTTCAGTGTTGTAATTCGTCACTATGGAGCACATTTTAGATAGTACTGAGAGCATAAGTTGTAGGCTACATGTATATCATATACATGCACTACTAGAGTAGAAGTAACAGGACAAAGGAAATATTGAAGTAAAGTTCAAGTACCCAAATGTTATACTTAGCAGCCTACAGTACTTGAGTAAATGTAATAACATGCCACCACTTTTGGCTGCTTAAAAAAAGTTCCTTCAGAGTGTTTGGAGTTTTAAACCCCACAATGCCACTTAGTTTAAAGAGGTTTTTGTATTGACATGCCATTGTGTGGCTACACAGATGGACATAAACAAACTTTACAAATGGCTTCCATTGGGTGTGTATCATGTTTTTAAGAATTGATTCAGAAAAAATCTCCGAGGATAAGTGAAATATCTTTTGATTAATTATTAGATGAATAACTTGACAAAAAAAGATGGGGAGGAATTTTAACGTGTAAATAATCTTTTCAGAGCCCAACTGAAAAAATAGAACAGGCTGATATTTGCTCATTGCAGATGTGTGTATTTTTTGGCCCATCAAAAGACAAGAAATGTGAAAATTACATTAACTTTAAAGGCGTGTTTTGATGGTGTCACCATTCTTTATGGTGTACACCAGAGAGTACAAGGACATGTTTTTTTTTTTAAATGTCAAATATACTCCCATATTATTTCCCTGGAGGAAATGATATTAAGAAAACGAATACTTATTGAACCTCGTAAATTGTTTGTTGTCGTGTGAAAAAAACCGATGTGTGTAATGTTTCTATGTAAATAAACATCTGTTACATTCCAGTCCTTCTCAGACAAGTTCACACTATGCTGATAAAGCAAGTGTAGGAAGAGTTGAAAAGACAGAGGATGGTAGGGAGAGCCCGACCTGATCTGAGAGAAGCATGTTCTCTGAGTAGGACAGACCAGCCAACGTCCACACACAGAGACTGGGTTGTGTCTCTTGTGAAGAAGTTGTGAGCTGATTACAAAAATTATAATAATTGAATATATCATTATTTTGTCAACAGAGTTAAAATAACTACGGCGTGCATGTATCATCAGAATTCCTTTAAGTCCTGCGGCGGGAACATTTACCGCTTTACAGCAAAAGTGACATGGCAGTTAAAAAAGGCAATAAATAATAAAGGGTAACCTAACATGTTAAGTATCTTTTATTGGAGATCTGATGGTAATTGAAAGTACTTGGTGTGAAAGCGGCTCTTAGGACACATACAGATGTGTACTAAGAGAACACTGTAAACCTCATATATGAGGGTATACAGGTATTGCAGGATACCTTTGTATGAAAGTTGACAGTTATCCTACTGTATCAATGTGCTTATCTACGTTATTGGAACAACAGTATGACTGTGCCTTTGACCTCCTACATTAAGGGTTAATAATCATCGAACATAAAAGCTCACTGCTTAATATATAATGAGCAATGTTATTTTTCAATGTGTGGTTCATTTAACCTGCTCTAGAGCTGATTACATGTTCTTGTTCCATAAAACATGGTTTATATGGGGCTTATAAACCTGTTTTTTTAAACTGTGGTCATGGTAACTGATTTATTTCTATTAAGAGTGTAATACTGTGATATTATTTTACCGACTAAACATAGACAAATGTGTTATAGATTTAGTCTGATCCCGTTCAGGCCCGTGTTGGAGACAACCCAAGAAAAGTCTGCTCTAAAAGCGATGCCGATTATTATATTTTTACCCTTCCCTCCATCTCCCTAGCGGGCCGGCACCCGGCGACGTTACCATGACGATGGCATCTCAGATGAGGAGATTGATGGAAGAAGGATGTTTGACCTGGACGACAAGGTTCACAGTGAGAGGTTCGGCTCCGACCGGGTTCTGCGCATGGAGGGAAAAGGTACGACGACACGAGCAGCCACACAGATTTTTGAAGTGTTCCAAAAACACTTTACTTTTCCTGCAGTACTTATTCATCTTTATTCCAAAAGGCAAAACAGTGACAGAATAGACTATATTTAGCAAATGTCTGTAATGTGTAGGGATGTAACGATACCAAAAACTCACGGTACGATAATATCGCGATAACAAGTCCACGGTACGGTATTTATCGCGATATTGAATAATAAAGAGAAAAAAAATTCAAATTCTTTTTTTTCAATAAAACATTTTTTGACTCTGAAAATGTTTCTTTATTACATCATAAATCTGATTTGTACAGCATTTTAGTCGGATAGCAGTATTTTAAAGTGTCAAAAACAAAGTGACAGTAACAGACTGGAACAAGAAAAGCAGTGTTTTTGTACCTATAGTACTACCAAACAAAGTAGGCATTTTCTTTGTGCCACTGCATCTCACAAATAAACAAGGACATTTCATAATCAGACCCTGCAATCAAATAAATCAAGTTTCACTTTAGTTTTTCAAGTAACTCAACTCAAACTCACTAAGTCACTCACTCAGCATCATCAGACAGGTTTTTAGGAATATGAGAATGTCCACATTTCCAGGTATTTATAAGCTGGGATGTTTGGGCATCTACAATATCCCCTGCTCTGGAAAAAACTCTCTCGCTTGGTACTGATGTTGCTGGGACAGCAGTGGTCGCGTTAACCGAATATTTTATTTAACAATGACGGAAAAATCTGAAAGCAGTCTGTCATTTTGACAGATTAGAACAAACTCGGAACAGCGCCAACGTTTCCCCGCAGCGAGGCTCTGGTGTTATGCATGCCCTCCAAAAGGAAATGATATACTTTCCAAACCGTACTTTGCCGTACAGATCAACACATGTCTGGGAGGTTTTGCTTCACGCTGTGTGTGCTCCCGCGAGGTGCATGCACACGGCATAACACCGCCCCCCCCCCCCGTTGACAGTTCACAGTTCACGAGCGTGCTCTCTCTCTGGATATTTTACGATCCTGTCTGTCAAAATGACGGACAGCGAAAAAGGCTAACGCCACCTCAGTGGGACAGAGAGATATGCTTTGGCCATGGGTGACAGCAGTGGGTCAAACTGTGCATTGTCTCTCCACCACTTCAAAAACAATACAGTGTTTGCCAAGAAGGTGAGGCTTATTGACAGAGATATAAATATACTGTTGGGACTTGTCAATGTCTCTAGGTGTGTACATGTAGCACTGTAAATACCATGTCCTTTTGTGTTCTGTTGTTTTATGTTCATGTTGTAACCTACTTGCTGCCATGTTGGACAGGTCTCTCTTGAAAAAGGGATCGATGATCTCAATGGGACCACCTGGTTAAATAAAGGTTTAAAACAAAAAAAAGTGTTTAAAACAACAACAAAAAAATAGTTTTTTTTAAATCGCGTTAGATTTTGTCAGTCTCACGACGGTATTGGGACGTTTATTTACCGCAATATTCGGTATATCGTTACATTCCTAGTAATGTGACTAGTTATTCCTCATATTTGGTTAGTTGGGGTGTGTCCTCCTTCTGCCACACCACATCACATTAGCTTGCAAGCAGAATAGCTACCCAGGTGCAAAAGCATTTACTAAATCTTTTCCAGCGAAAGCATTTTTACTGTCTGTAATATATGGCCTAACCCGAACAGATACAAACAGTTACGTGATGACACCAGTAGCACTGTTAACTACATGTTTCCTTGTGATACAATATTTGGACAATGCTACAATAATTCGGCCTCCATGAACAAAAAACAGCCCAAAATGAAGAATAGAGAGCAAACATTGGAACATTTCTCAGTCCCACTTTGTTTTGTTGTATTCCTTAGACCTGACATACGAGTTCGTCCAGAGAGAGGGCCTGAGGGACCCGATCCTCTTTGAGAAGCCTGAGGGACTGGGAATCAAGTAGGTCTTCCTCTTTACTTCTCCATCTTTTTTAGAACTTGCTCGTTTGTTCTTGTCTATTGAGGAGAGACACGAGACCTGTTGAGTAACTCATGTTGTTCTGTAGGATGCCTGACCCCGACTTCAGTGTCAATGATGTCAAGATGTTTGTTGGTAAGACTTCATTAATACACTTTTCTTACTTTACAATAAACTACTACATGTATTGAGTTTAGTCATTAAATAATAACATCCATTGAAGCAAATATTAGATTCTAATTTCAGTAATGCACTGACTGAATGATGAGAGTGAATCTTTGAAAGATTTCAAATGACTGATTTATTTTCTCTGACTAACCTTGAATATATCCCAAACTATCAAGTGTTACATTGACACGGAAATAAGTGAATCATCACATTCAAGAACCTGGATATCTTTTTTTAGGGTTGAACTAAACACCTGTTCGTCAGTCAGTCAGGACATGAACGATTCACTCGGTCAACTTGCCTGTGAGGCTAGAGAAATGGCACACAATAGTTTGTTAAATAAAGTACTAACTTTGCTAAACTGTAATTCCAGTGGAAACAAACCAGTGGCCACCTCTTGATGTACACAAGGTTTTGGATATAATGCTCTCTGCTTTTTACAAAATACAAATACAATATTTTGTTGAATTGAAGTATTACATCGTTCTTGCATCAAAGTATTTATTAAAAACCATGACTTCAAATGTGTTCTATCAGCTGCTGTTTGACATGATTCCTTTGGCATGCTGGGAATAACCATCGCCCTGAATCCCTCAGGCAGCAGACGTATGATTGATGTGATGGACGTGAGCACTCAGAAAGGGACGGAGATGTCGATGGCCCAGTGGACACGCTACTACGAGACCCCCCCGTCTCAGAGAGAGAAGCTCTATAATGTCATCAGCCTGGAGTTCAGCCACACAAAGCTGGAGAACCTGGTCAGGAGACCCACCACGGTATGTTCATACACTTACCATATGTGTGCATTCTGCACACCTCATGCAAACACTTACCTTTTTACTCATCAAGTATGGATAAAGAATCAAGCATTCAGCTGTCTTTGTCATGCAGAGAGCAAACTGTCTGCAGAGTGAAGGACGCTGCGTTGTATTCAGAGAGAGGAGAAAGGGGGGCTCAAGCTTGGCCATAATGAAAGGAGCATTCTGGCAGTAAGAGAGGCAGTATCAGGAAGCTCCCAGTTTAACAGGAGTCCGTACTGTTAGTGCACAGAGTGGAACTTAACAACATTGTAACAAATATTCTTAAGAAGGACATTTCCAAAGCCAAGCAAAGATGTGAAAGCCAGTAAATAGAGATACACATTACAAATCACTAAGTGATATTGAAAGTGAGTAAAATACTTTCAGTACAGTGCATTTGTAAATAATAGTAAGTCTGATCTGTCTGTTATGTTACCATGTGTCTGTCCTGTGTTTGTGTGTGCAGGTAGATTTGATAGACTGGGTGGACAACATGTGGCCCCGTCACCTGAAGGAGAGACAGAGAGACTCAACCAACTCTATCACTGACATGCAGTACCCCAAGGTCCAGAAGTAAGCCTACCAGGTCCACTTTGCACAGCATCATAAACCACACAGGGAAAATGAGTACAAAAGAAACCACTTATGTATCATATTTCTTTATGCAAACATTGCTGATGTGTGTGTCTCTGCAGATACTGTCTCATGAGTGTGGAGGGCTGCTACACTGACTTTCACATTGACTTTGGAGGGACCTCAGTGTGGTACCACATCCTCCGAGGAAGCAAGGTGGGGCCAGAGGGGGGTCAGCCACTGTCTTACAGCCTCAAATGTTCTAAATCAAGATTATCAAAGTGAGGACTTTAAACTAAAAACATGAAGGCTGTTCTTGTTTTTAGAAACGAGGCGTTAGATAAATAGTTTGAAATGTACAGAAAGAACGTCTAGAATTGGGGTTCTCGTCTGAAATGACTTCTGCTTCCTCAGTAAGTGGCCTCGTGGTTAGAACTGCGGCTGTGTGTTTCAGGTGTTCTGGCTGATCCCTCCCACCCCTCAGAACCTGGAGCTCTATGAGAACTGGGTGCTGTCCGGGAAGCAGGGAGACATTTTCCTGGGAGACCGAGCATCTGACTGCCAGAGGGTTGAACTGAAGCAGGGCTGCACCTTCATCATCCCCTCAGGTAAACTGTCCCAGAGAGCTTTTACCCCGTTGAGCTTCTGTGTCGATATTCAAAGCTCTTTTGGAGGTGGAGGTCACTTCTGTTGCTCACACAACAGATACACATCCTTTGTATTCTCCATCGCACATGTATTGAGCCTTATGTGCATTTCTGTTGCGTTTAGTGACATATATATATATATGATATCAAATCTCTAAATCATACAAAGTGTGCAGCTCTTTCCCAATGAAGAAAAAATGAAGTTATCGGGTCCAGCCCGACTTTGACTCTCCTAACACACACACACACACACACACACACACACACACACACACACACACACACACACACACACACACACACACACACACACACACACACACAGAATGATTTCAGTTGTGAGTGTAAAATAACACGTGTGTGTGTGTGTTATACTCAGGTTGGATTCATGCCGTGTACACCCCTGTGGACACCATGGTGTTTGGAGGAAACTTCCTGCACAGCTTCAACATCCCCTCGCAGCTCAACATCTGTAACATAGAGGACAGAACGCGGGTAGGTGAAACCCCTCTCCACAAAGTGTAAAGGCAGAAAGTGAACGCTTGTTTAAGCCTGTTGCCTCTTTCACCTCCACCTCAGGTTCCATTGAAGTTCCGCTACCCCTTCTTCTATGAGATGTGCTGGTACGTGTTGGAGCGCTACGTCTTCAGCCTGACCAAAACCTCCTACCTCACACCAGAGTTCCAGAAGCACACGCTGGGCATTGGTATGCACACATGCAAACAGATGGGAGACGTGTAGAGACACCTGCTTGTGTTGTAAATAGTGTGTAACTCCTTCTGTCAGGTCTGAAGAAGCCGGCCAGCTCGGATCCAGCCATCGAGCAGCTGAAGGAGGAGGGGGAGGGGGAAGAGAGGGATGAGGGAAGCAGTGATGAAGAGTTTGATGTTAAACTTCATCTGACTCCCCTTGAGCTGGAGGGGATGTGGAACCTGCTGGGTAAACTGGAGGCTCTGCCCTCCAACAAGAAGTGTCTCCCCGCAGGCATACACAACGCCCCGGCACTCATCACACACATCAAGGTATGACTGCTGTGTTTGAGTTACTCTGCTGTGGGGGTCTTGCTGATATTTAATGGTGTCCTTTGGATGGCTTTCCTCTGCTGTGCCCCCCCCTCCCTGCTGCAGGCTCTGCTGAAGGAACACGCCAGTGACAACCCCAAACTATCGTACTCCGGGAAGCCCATCGTCAAGTGGCCAAAGAGAGTAAGCGGCCTTCACTTTTTAGACACAGCACATCAGCAAGGATGCTTTGAGTGTATCCTAAAGCTCTTAAGATGAATGGTTATAAATATGTCTGTAAATAATCTGTGTTTTCAATGAAACAATACCTGGATGAGGTGTTGGTTAGTCCAGTATTTACAGTTGTATCTGAAAAAAACCCATTTATGAATATTTGATGTTCTGTATTTATGAAGAACAGTTGATTGTCCAACAGAAAAGTGCCTGTCTGTTATCGTTGGTTTACCTCTGCCATTAACTCTGTTCTGCTCCTCTCCACCAGCCCTCCTGGTACCAGCCTCCTCCTCCACCACCTCCTCCTCCTCGCCCTAAACTGGCCTCTACCCCCGTCACCCCCCGACCACAGAAGCCAGCCTCCTCCATGTCTGTGCTGAGGCGCCGCAGAGTCAGGTGTGTGTTCTGTCACATCAAATGAATGTTGTTGTTTTTACGCCAAATGAGTTCAGTGACTGAGGCAAATAAAGCCTTGCAAGTCGATTGCAGTTTAGTTTGTGGTATAGCAGTCACAATGAAGTGATCCTATTCCAGTAGTTTGAAGCCAACACCATTTTGATAGCCTTTTATAGTTCATATAATTGTGAAAGTACGGAATGAAGCGATGATCATTGCTGTCCTGTTTCCCTCCTCTCAGGTGTAAGCGCTGTGAGGCCTGTATGAGACCTGAGTGTGGAGACTGTAACTTCTGCAGAGACATGAAGAAGTTTGGAGGACCAGGGAAACTCAAGCAGACCTGTGTGCTTCGGCAGTGTCTCTCTGTAAATCACTCATTCATTTATTCATTTATTTTTTGAATATAGGTTGGTTATATCTGTTTTGTAACTTCCCCTCGCCCCTCCAGCCGGGCCTTCCTCTGTCTGCAGTGTGTGAGATCTGCAAAGAGCCCAATCAGGAGGAGACTGGAGACCCCTCCCTCACTCTGATGGAATGTTCCAACTGTGCACAGATAGTCCACCCTGCCTGCCTCACGGTATAAAGCGCACACACAACCGTTTATGCCTCTTTCTGCATTATACAGAACACTGTCCCACGTTGTGTGTATTCTGAGTGGAACATCTACACGTCCTACACTGGAGCAAAATCATTTGGACATGCCATTCTTTGACTGTCCTGCACACACACAAAATTCAAATGTTTCTTTTTGTGTATTCTTTTTAATATATTTTCCTGCATTGCCAATAGAGGTATAGGTAGAATCATATTTAAAAAAGTAATTGTTTCATTTTGGTATTACCGTAATAAAACACCATCAACACGTACAGTCAAATAAATGATGCATTATGTGTTTTGGCTCACACACATGTCTTTAGCTAAAGGCCAAAGCTCCACAGGAAGCTTTCATCTCTCAGACCCACAACGTTATTAAAGTACTTGCCTGCTGCTGCAGCAGTGTTTAAGGAAGGACTACATACGGCTAGTATAGGTCCTATTACAGTGATAACACTCATCATCTAGATATCGGTATGGTTTTAGTCCTGTTTATTAATACCTATTTTATTTATTTTCATCCATCCATTTACTTCTAATATGTGCATCTGCAGGTTCAAGGTGAGGGGGTGGTGAACAGAGACCTGCCCAGCTGCTGGGAGTGTCCAAAGTGTGTCCAAGGCATCACTGACCCAGAGGTACACAATGTCTTATCAACACACACACACACACACACATCTGCACAGACTTCGTGGTCTCTCTGCAAACTCCTGCGCTCTCTCCTGCACTCAGTCTCTGACCCCTTGGTTCACAGTCACACACACTTGGTTGCAGTGTGTCAAAGCTAACGGGTGTTGTGTGTCTCCTTTCTTTTTGTTTTTCATTGTGGTTTTTTTCGGTTGCTTTATTTTCTGTTTTCTTGTTGATTTAATGAAACACCGTCAGTCATCAGGCAGCGATGAACCGTTGGCTGCAGGCCACCAGCAGTACATCCGGCCCCGAGGCCCCCTGGTCCTCAGACTGGGCCCCGGGCCCTCTGCTACCATAGGGGGTCCTGTGGGCACCCAGCAGGATGGGGAGGTGATTCGCTGTGGGTTCTTCACTCCTCCTCTTCCTTCCTGCTCTTCTTCCTCCTCACTTCTATTGGTGGCGGCCCCTCTGCCTTCTCAGCCAATCAGCTCGAGACTGGTGAGAGGTGCCGCCTACTCTGAGTTCATCCACCCCTCTGTCCAGTGCACCCTCACACATCTGTCATCCCACCTTTTCAGGAGAAAAGACACAACTTTTGATGTAAATGAGACTTTTCCTATAAATGATCCTCTCACGGAGAGATGGTTTCTTATGAAATAATACTGTTCCACGCTTTATATAAGAGTAGTGCCTCTTCTCTCTGACTTGTAGCTGTTTTCATTTTGGAGCGGTCTCCAGCTCAGATTTTCTTTTGTGCCGTTTTCCCTTCTCAACACTTTCTAAATGATTTATCTTATGGTCAGTCGGTTTGTTTGTTAAGACAGTGTGAGAAAAAGTTTGTAGAGAGTACTTGTCCATGGACAAGTGAGTTTGGCAATTTACTTGTCCGAATACATTTTTCACTTGTCCAGAATGGACAAAAATTTGGGGCCACTGGAATCTTCTTCTTCATCATCGTATTTTACATTTTCCCACGGTTTTTACGACACCGCTAACGTAAGTGAGCGGTAAGATTTCACTGCATCACACATAGGGTTGGGTATCGTTTGGATTTGAACGATTCCGGTTCTGCTTTTCGATTCCGGTTATTTTGGGTTCTCGATTCCGGTTCTTTGAGAGGGTAAAAATAAGTCCCATGACAAACTGGGAGAAAAATATATTTATGAAAACATTAAGTCAAATCTGTATTCCTATTTACAAATCACTTCATACTGTTGAATTTCTTACGGTTATTGAATACAATTATATACAAATAATCTCTGCATTGTTTAGTTAGTTCAAAGTGGCCCAGTCTCCTCTGATGTTACACTGCAACCTGCCTGTGAGACAGAGTCCAACCACACATGTCCAACACATAGGACATAACCTAATAATAATGACACATTAGATGTATAGCCTATAGGCCTAGCGCTTTTCTACAACTCAAAGACGCTTGCTTCACTTCATAAAGGAAATGGTGGTCAATATTAACAACATAGGAGTCAAAACGCTTAATAACCTTCATTATGTGTTAGAGAAAGAACATAAGAAAGTTTGACAAAGATGAGGCTGTGAAACGGGCAGCGGATCCGCTGTGTGTAGAAAGAGAGAGAGAGAGAGAGACGCTGAGCTGCACGGCTGCACCATGCAGCGATCAGCTGATACGGAGCATAGAGAGAGCTGCAGTCCGCGGGCCTCGGCCTCGCCTCCTGTCCTCACAACTCTTATTAATCCCGGTACCGGACAATTGTTATTTGTTCCTACTCGGAACCGAGTTTTGCTTCCCAACCCTGCCACTGTGCTACACTTCTCACCACGCTCCGCCCCGCCCCGTCTAACAGTACAGAAAGCGGCGATATGCATTTCCTTAGGAATCGACAAGCAGAACCGAAACTAACATTTCTAATCGAACAATGGCGGACACGTACAATTTGCGAATGAGTTCTGCCTTTTGTAAACTGAATGTATCAATAATTTGTCAATAAATCAGGCCGAAAAACGTCACTTGTCCGTCGGACAAGTCAATTGAAAGATCTACTTGTCCGATATTGTAAATAACACGTCCTGGACGGTGGGACGTGTACTTTTTCGCACACTGTAAGACAATCAACGTTTGACTAAACCACCATTTTCTTTAGGTTGGACACAGACACCAGACTAGCCCTACATTGCACCGGTGCTCCAAACGTTCTTCTGCCACACACTACTTTTGTACATGTTGATGATCAGTTTGTGTTAAGGTTGTAACGTTCATTTGTGGGTAGAACAGGGCATGCTTTTCTCACACACACACACACACACACACACACACACACACACACGCCTTAGTTTTTTCCCCCATCTGCATTCACCAGAGAAGAACATAAAGACAGAGCCCGGGGGTCTTTACAGAATGTTGGTGGGAAAAAGCCCAGTGAAACTCAGAGCTGCAGATGTCAGGCTGCCGGTGCCAGCACAGAACACTGTTGGTCCCCTGCCTGACCCCTTCACTCAGTGGGAAGCACCGGAGGACCTGAAGCTGTGACTGCTCATCCCTGCAGTCACCCACTGAATGACATTCTGACAGTTCTTAATGGGAGAAGGCTCTTGTGTAATGGTGGCTTCAATGACTTCATGTTCCTAAGCAAACAAGTCCTAAACATTCCTGACGAACCACAATGCTGTTTTAAGGAGTCAAAGCGATGTGGAGGGGGAGGTCAGGCAGGTGGTTGGTGTGACGGAGGAAGATGCAGGGGAAAGGAAGAGATGGAAATAAATTATTAAAACAAAAAGTATTCTGCCATAGATTTAATTGAAAGCTTGGTCTGTGTTTTTAATGAACCACTTTCAGAAGCCTTTTCCACTCTGACAGAAATTAAAATGTGATGATGGAAATGATAAAAATGAGTTATTGAACATCAGAAGGTTATAGCAGCTTCTGCAACAAACGAATGATCAGCCTTTTACTTTCAGCTAAAACAGACAAAAGACAAAATATAATTTACAAAGTAAAAATGAAACCTTGTTTATAAGACAAAGGCGATTTGACGCTTTCTGTCAGCTCTGAAGAAACTTCTGATATTGACATGTTTTCCTTTTCCTCCAGCAGTCTAAAGGAGACGCAGGGGAAGGCCTTCCAGCGGTGAGTGTTTATTGTGGGGTCTCCACTTCAACATGTATGTTTCTCTTGATTTAAGGTCTCTAACCATTTCCCTTCTATGTCATTTAGTGGGAATGCTGTTAACAGCATTCCCACTAAATGAATGCTGTTAACAGCATTCCCACTATCTGTTCTTCTACGCACAAAATTCTTTAATTTGATTCCGCCCGTTATTTTGGCCCTCTTCTCCTCCCGCATTGAACATCGCAGAAACTCCGTTCAAACATCAAAACGTTCAGCTCGGTCGGGAATCGAGTGCTATTAGTTTTCTCATTCATAACTTTCATAATTCCAGAGATACATCCCATAATTCATCACATTTTTAACATTGAAGTCAATGGAGAAAATCTTCAGACTTCAACAATCTTCATGCGACTTCAACTGCTAACTGTTCATTCATACTTTCACTCAGAAACCTCATTCCAGCTTTAAAATGTTACACATCTTTCTGATATTATTCTTGTGAAACAACTTTTAAATCTGATTCTTACTTTTAGAGATATTAACATTGTTTAGACCTTGGTAAAGAGGCTTTCTTCAGATTTTAACATTAACTAGAGTGCGTGATGTCACAGCTCGAGTGGAGAAAATCTTGAAATGTGCCTTCATATTTTTTTTTTAACTGCCATAATTCCCAAACCCTACATTCCTGAGACAAAACTTTTCATGTCAAATGTAGGAAAACATCTCGTAGCTTGAAAAATGATAAATAATTAAGCAAAAATAATTAACAAAATGCCTCTTGAGGGCATGAAGTGACAACAACGTTCAACATGTCTCCATTAAAGCCCATTGTAATTTCAGGCTGATATTTTTTCACAGCAGCCGCACGCCTTTAGTTAAACTGCCAAAAAGGCCACATTATTAACCCGAAAGTACACTTCAGATACTCAAGTTCCTTGACATGCTTCACGCTTTGAAATTTCATCGATATCCGTTACGGTTCTTCCACAAAACGTTCACATGTAAGAGGTTTATCTCTCATTCAGAACAATGAAAATGCTCTCCTCTCACTGATCACCATGGAAACCTGTGATCTCTGCACACCTCGTTAGCTCAAATATAAACACCTGTGTAATGGAACACGATGATGTCATCACTCCAACTGACATGCTCAGAGCAGCAGACTTCAGATAATAGGTTAATGGTCCTGCCCTCAACAGCTCTACGTTAATTATGGGGTGTCATCATATGCCGTTTCCATGGAAACGCCCCTCGCCATAAAAGACGATGTCGCTATACATTAACTCCTATGAAAATGTTCAAAAAGTGCTCCAATTTCACGTGTGCTAACAGTCCAGCCGTGAAGACATCTACGAGACCGTTTATAGATTTCTTCAAATGCCGTTGCCATGGCAACACAATGCTCGCCATGAAACACGGTTTTCTCATAACTTCCGTGAAAATGCTCCAAACAGCCCAAAACTTCACAGGTTTGGTAACGATGCAGCCATCAACGCATCTAAGCGTATTATGGGGTGTCATCAAATGCCGTTGGCATGGCGATAGATCATTCGCCATCAAGTTAGTTCAAATGTTTGCAGTTCAAATATTCTGCTGCTTTTCCAAGCCTTTTTACTTTCTTTTCTTCTCTCATCACACATTCAAGCCCCCAGTGTTCATGTATCATTTCAATCTAAATGATTCACTTTCTTCTTACACATTACATTTCAGCATAGCAGTTTAGCATCAGCTTTCCAGCATAAAGCATTCCCACTAGCAATTTCTTCAGGAATTGCATTCTCTAGTTCTGACTGTTCTTCGTCCCCTCTTTTTTCTTTTGCCTGCGTCTCCAGAAGCGGAAATCTTCCTCGCTGCTGGACGCCCGTATGGCTAAGATTTACCGCCGACAGAGACACAGCCATGATGGAGACGACTCTGCCAGTGATGATGATGACGATGATGATGATGATGATGATGAAGGTTTGTCTGTTAATCCCACAAAACGGCAAAGAACCTGAATCCTCCACATGTCTGTTGTTCTGACCCGATCAACTTTGTCCTCTTTACGCAGCCTCTCGCAGAAGAAAGGCACTCTATGCCCGAGGAGGGGGGCACTCTGCCAGGAGGGGCTTTGGGGCCAGCAGGAGAGGGCTACTGAGGGGGGGCTCGGCCCGCAGGGGGCACCTGGCTGCTGGCTCCTCCTCAGCACTCAAGCTGAAACGAGGGATGGGCGTGAGGGAAGCAGGGAGGAGGGGGCGAGGGGTGAGGCTGAGGGGAGGCTCCAGGATGCAGCGAAGAGGAGAAGAGTCCGAAGAGTCAGATGATGACGACGATGATGACGATGATGATGAAGAGGAGGAAGAGGACAGTGAAGATGCAGACAAAGAACAACTGCCCCGTCGACGGAGGAGGAGGCGGCAGACTGATGATGAAGACGAGGACAGTGAGGGGCAGGACTTTGACCCTGAAGACGAGGACATGGACACACTGGAAGATGAAGGGGAGGAGGAGGATGAGGAAGGGCGCTGGGATTCCGACCCAGAACCCCCAGTGCTTCTGGTGTCAGATCTGAACGATGACCTGCTGAGCGGCTCCTACCTGACGGTCACCTTGCAGCGGCCACACAGGGCCAAGAGACACGCAGGTGAGCGCCCCCCCCCCAGCTGCAGGGTGACTGAATACACACTGCACTACAGTGCGCACAGTACAGTGCGCACAGTACACTGTAAACAGTACTGACTTGTTGTTTGTGCTCAGGCTCTATAGTTCCAAAGCTAGAAGCAGCCATGGGTGTGAGGACAGCTGCGGGGGGGGCTGCAGGTCAGCAGGGCTTCATCCAGAGGAAGACGGCTCTGTCCAAACCCTCCCGACTGAAGAGTGCTGACTCAGCAGCTGACAGTGGCACCCCGAGAGGACCGGGAAGGTAGGACTCAGCACACGACTCGTGATACACATGTTATTTAGAAAATGACCTACTGATGGGTGAGACAAACAGGACTGCACTCAGTGAACGCAGCAAACCCACACAGACACAGCACAGTCATCACAGCTCTGTCTGTAGAGTGCTGTGTTCACTGATCCCAGCTCAGTATGTTTTCAGTACACAGGAAAAGCTTAAGGGAATATGCCCCCCCCCCCAGCTCTGGCCCTCTTCTGGCTTGACTGCTCTGCAATGAGTTATTTAGCCAAACGAATAGATGCTGACAGAAACGACACTGAAGGACTAAAGGAGGTCCTTATGTTGTGGACGTCCTCTCAGGGGCCTTATCTACACTCGCACTCTGGCAGGCTGTTATTTATGTAACTCCCATAATGCTCTGTAATCTCTCTGACCACTTACTACTTTCTTATGCATGTCATTATTAACACAATTTTATATTTGGATCATGTAGGCCACGTATGCGAGGTAACCATGGCGACAGAGGCACTCGAGATCACTCTGTGACTTCCTCAGAGGAAGAGGAAGCTGCTGCGTCTTCTGTGCCCTCTTCCCTGTCTCCCCCCTCCCTGCTGTCTCTGCCCTCCTTTAAGGACGTGGGCAACGAGAGTGGGGGGGAGAAGGAGGTGTGGGTGTCAGTGTTCCAGTACCTGGACCGAGCCCAGCTGTTGGCCTGCATGACCGTCTGCAAGGCCTGGTACAAGTGGTATGTAGTCGTCCCCCCCCCCGATCCACTACCACATCAACATGTCTGAGTGTCACTACAGCAGAGCTCTGATGTACATGTCCCATCATGCAGGAGCTGTGACAAGCGTCTGTGGAGCCACGTGGATGTGAGCCGCTGCAGCCCGCTCAGCAACCAGGTGCTGGCCGGCATCATCAAACGCCAGCCCGCCTCTCTGGATCTGTCCTGGACCCCCCTGGCCAAGAGACAGCTCAACTGTCTGCTCACCAGGCTCCCAGGTACACACACACACACTTTCACACACGGATCCCCTTGGCCCTACATTTCTCATACCACCCCCCCTCTGTGTTCAGGTCTGAGGGAGCTGAGGGTGACGGGGCTGTCCTGGTCTTGCCTGTCGGCGCTGGTCTCCCCCACGCTGCCCTGCCTGCGGCTGCTGGACCTGCGCTGGTGTGAAGGCCTCAAAGATGCCCAGATTAAAGAGATCCTCACCCCTCCAGGTCAGTGCCGCCTCCAAGCATCTACACTCAGGGCTTTTGGTGGTTTTGATGTCTTCCTGAAGTGCCCTGATGTCATTTCCTGTTCGTCGTCAGTTCACTGAGTCAGGAGTAGGGATGGGTATCGTTAAGATTTTACCGATACCGGTACTGCTTATCGGTATCGGTATTTTCCGATACTCTTATCGATACTTTTCAATAATTTGGTGCTCAAAATTATAGACATGAATACAAGATGTGAAGATGAAACAGTCATTTTATTGTAAATAACTGTATAACTTATACATTAGCTTCTCAGAAGCAGACACAAATAAATAAAATGACTTAAAGGGGCCTGGCTCGCCCTGTCATGCTTTTGGGGGTTTCCCTCAGAGGATGAAAAGAGGCATTTTTTAAACATTTGTAAATCAGTTACATCTTCATCCAGACATTTCAAACGAACAACCTAGCTCGACAAGAGATCCTTAAAACATTGTCCTACAGTGACTTCATGCAAAACTGTGATATGAAGAAATTGGTCAAAAGGCTAAGATGGCAAAAAGATAAAGGCGAGTGCGTATATTATTCTGGATTGTACTTTTAAATCATCACAAAATAAATGATGTGCTGAACTGAAACACGTCAACATGTGTCTGAAGGTTTAAACATAGAACAAAGTATTTGAGCTTAAAATATGTCCATTCCTAGAAAACGACCAACAATTGCTGAACCATACATTGAAACGTTGACCTTTAACAACATTTAAATGCAGTTTTCCAATTCACAATGACATCTGTAAGTTTAACTGGTTTATAAAGCATTCAATGAAAGGCCACATTATTATAGGTGTAGGAGCTCACATTAATACACTGTCAGTGTTAATAAACTAAAAAAAAGACAAGGTGATGTGCCTGCAAGACTTCACTCAGGTAAACAAAACATATTACCCATGCGCAGCAGCTAACCTGCCTGCGAGCCTTCGCTCAGGTCACATTTACACACGGCGCGGCTGAAGCCCACGAAAACGGCATCTATAGTTGCTGACAGTTAAGTATTTTTAAAATACCGTTACATTTGTCCCGCAAATCGTATCCGGTTGCACTGAGGAGGACGTTGTTAGCGTGCTACGACTAGCACTAGCAGTATCGCTAGCAGCCACATTGTTTAGGCTGTCAAATACGCTGCACTGTTTTAGATTCAATGAGTGTCTCGTTTGCAAATGCGTCATTAAGCTGCTTGTGTTACCCCCTTTACAAGCAACTCATTGAGTTACACTATCGATGTCGATGCACTATCGCCATCGACATTTTTTAAAGTGCACCCAGACCTTCGATGGCTTCGCTCTGTCCGCTATGCCTGCGGGAGTCTCGCAACAATAATAAGAGCGCTGTTGAGAGAGATGACGAGTGGTATTTACAGTGGCCAATCAGAGGGGTCTCAAACCGGATACATCACACGGGATGAGGGTTCCCAACCAACCAGAATGGTTTAAAGTTAAACTAAGGAAGTAGACGTAACACATATACTGATAGCAGCACCGTTTGTCCAGCGGCTTAACGGTATACCGATACCGTCCAATCAGGTACCGGTTTTGACTTGGTACCGGTTCTCGATACCCATCCCTAGTCAGGAGGCTTTCTGTGTCCCCTCTGTAGATGCTAATGAATTAAAGAACTTGGCTAGGGGAATTCTTCTTCTTCCTAAATGTCATATAAATGCACAATAGGTCATTTTCTGCCAGTAGGGGTCTGAATCAAAGCAAAAGACAGATTTTGGTGAAGTAGCGTTGAGTCATGGGAGTTGTTGTCTTCTTCCCGACCTCGCCACTGATTGAACACAGCCATGTGATTCCCACAGCACAGCGCTGTGCAGCATGGGATCTCCACATGAACCTTCCAGCTCAAACGAGCGTTTCCTCCTTCCCTCAGGCTTGGAGTCGTCCCGCAGCAGATTGAGGAACATGGTGACGCTGCGTCTGTCGGGGCTGGATGTCAGTGAGTCCACGCTGCGGCTGCTGCAGCGCCACATGCCCCAGCTGCAGAGGCTGGACCTGGCTCACTGTAAGGACATCACAGACTCCTCCATCAGCCTGCTGGCAGCCGCCGGCTCACACAGCCGCAACAACCTCACTGAGCTCACTCTGGCAGGTTAGAGCTAAACATCTCATCATTCTGCTTTTATGATGCCCAGCTCACCATTATTTAGGGTACAAAAGGGCTGTGCATAGTATCACAATCAATTATAAATAAAGATGAACTGGGAGTACAACTAACGAAACCGACCTGAAGGCAGAACAATCTCTCTGTTGCAGTGGTGCTTATTTTCCCTCAACAGTCTGTGTTTTGGATGAGAGCAGCTCCTGACTCGTGTGTGTGTGTGTGTGTGTGTGTGTGTGTGTGTGTGTGTGTGTGTGTGTGTGTGTGTGTGTGTGTGTGTGTGTGTGTGTGTGTGTGTGTGTGTGTGTGTGTGTGTGTGTGTGTGTGTGTGTGTGTGTGTGTGTGTGTGTGTGTGTGTTTCCAGGTTGTAGCGAGCTGACGGATGGCTGTCTGTCCTACCTGAAGCGTCTGTCCTCTCTCACTCTGCTGGACCTCCGAGGCTGTAAGAGCATCAGCCGACGGGCCTGTGACGCCTTCATCTCTGACCTGTCCCACGTGGCCCTCTTCTGTATGATGGAGGAGAATCTCATCCAGCGCCTGGATTAACACACACACCTGTTTACACTGTTTCATGGTCAACTGTAAGAGAGAAGAAGAAAGCTCAAGCTTCTGCCTTTTTGTTTTTTTTAAAACATGAAGAGCATCAAACCTGGAGTTGTCTGTCAGAAACATTAAACGTTTTTTCAAAATGTCAATGTATCTTTGAAAAAGTCTTCAGTTGTTCACTGAATTGAATAAAGGAATTGCCTTGCTCAAGGGCACCTCGGCAGTGCCCAGGAGGTGAACTGGCACCTCTCCAGTTAGTCGTTCACGCTCCATTTCTTTCATGTGATGTGAACCAGCGACCTCTGGTTCCTTACAGACCTCTGGCTTTTTGAAGGGTCACTTTTTCTCATATCAACGCTAGAATGTACCACCTTGTTTCTTCCTTCAGAAGCCACACGTGAGAGCAGCTTTCCTGAGGACAGAGTGACGCAGGCTGGACTCTGCCTGTCACGCTCCTCTTTATGACTTTAGGATTAAAAGTCCGGTAAATGAGGGATAAGAGTAAGCGTTGTCCTGGAACAGATCAAACATGCGTCTGTGTGTACAGTAAATGGCTTGTGTTTATTTGTTCATGTTATGATTCACTTACGATTTTTCTTACTTTGGAAACATAATCAAATGTAAATGGTGAACTTTGTATTTGCAGCATTTGTTTACAAGCATTACATGAACCACTCACGGACTTAAGTATGAAGTGTTTTATACATATGGATCATATTTGATCTATATGGGCTGTCAAAGACTTGTGCATTCTTTGCTCTGTATTCTGTGGACAGCAGGGGGCGCTGCTGAGGCTGACTGCACTCAACATATTCTGAGCACAATGTCTCAATGAGACAGACCCTTTCATTTCTATGGGATGGAAAGGACCTAATTATAAATAAAAACAAACGCAAAGAATTTATGAATGCTAAATAAATGCACTTTTTTTTAATAACTTTCTTGTGGAAACAAGTGGTAAAGGAGGAAGTGGCGTGAGCACGTCAAACTGTCTGGAAAGTCTTTATTATTTGGTCCATGTCCCCTTGCTCTGCAGGAGATAAATCCCTGCATGTTACAGTTTTTCTCGGTTGCTAACACACTAAAATTCGACATAAAGCACAATTATTTTAACTGACACTCAAAGAGCAAAACATCGGCTCAAATCTCCAAAACTCTAATCACGTTTTCAGCTTTTCACACAATTTGAAAATCAACACGGCACTTTGTGCAAACCACTGCACACGTCTCTCCACGTGAGACACAGGAGTCTGACATAAAGTCACGTGTTAGCAGGTTGAAAACACTGATATTCAAAATGCCTCACACATGGACCAATGATCAAGAAACACGTTCCACCTGAGCAAACACCTGATAGCATCATTGATGGCTCATCAATCAGGATGTTAGCACTATGAAAAGACCACAGGTGAGAACTTTCTTACAGCAACAATAGAAGCAAGAGGAAGAGCAGGGCTGAGAGTGAGAGGAGATAGAAAGAGTACTCTCTAATGAAATGAAATGTTATCAACCATGGTTTGACGACGAGAGAGGCTGGACAGAGGTTTCAGCCAGTGGTTCTCAAAGTGGGGGGCGCGCTGCCCCTGGTGGGCGCAGAGGCATGCCAGGGGGGGCGCGAGAGACCAGGAGGAAAAATTGTTATAAAAAAAAAAAATCATAATTTGAAGAATTATTGATTCGAAAATAATATGATGCAGTACAGTACTATTACATCTGGGTTTCTGTGTTTCATTAAAGCTCGGCTCTGTGTGTGTGGAACGAGCCATTTTGTGTGCGCGAGAGAGAGGACACCAAACCAACTGAGACCCGTCTGTCCGCCGCATCTACGCACTGTACAACACACACACACTACCGGCACACACTGTACCACACCTACAGCTCCTAAAGCATAGTCAGGCTACAGCCGTTGTGTATTTTATTATGTGAAGCACTAAATGGTCTTAGACAAAGATCGACTCTTTGTTTATAGATATCTACTAAACTAAAGCAAATAAAGAGAGTAGGCCTGTTATACTGAGTGATATATATTATACACACTGCTCTGCTTTCTGCACGGACCTCACAGCTGTTCTCTCTGGAAACATCGTGATGCGATGAAAGCAGTTAATACAATAATATCCAGGGGATGCATGCAGAGCTGTCATTGGCTGAGATAAGTCCGACGACTCTTCACTGTTGTTGAAAATGCATCCGTGGAGGACCCATCAGTGTATCCTCGATTAGAGCTCCTCCAGAGAGCCTCCTCGATCCTCGGTCCTCGATGTGCATTTATAGAAATGAGATGTCCTTCAAAATGGCACGCTGAAATTAATTTCCGGGTCACTACCGGAGGACCGAGGAGTCGAGGAGAGGAAATTAGAGAAATAAGAAAGGCCCCGAGTGTTTCATTGTCATGAGTTTCACTGCACTTTGACACCGGTACATGAAATCAACTTCTGTCTGTAATTAAATCCTAATTTTATTACAAACACAAAATTAATTCACATCTTTCAAGAAACCCGTGTGTGTGTGTGTGTGTGTGTGTGTGTGTGTGTGTGTGTGTGTGTGTGTGTGTGTGTGTGTGTGTGTGTGTGTGTGTGTGTATTCAGCATGTGTGGCGGTCTGTGTCTCGGTCTAATAGCTCTTGGTGGTCTCGTAGGATTCTGGGAAGGGGAGACTGACATGACCGCTCCCTGCCACCAGAGGCAGGATCCCAGCGTTGGGAACAACGTTCCAGGACAGCGTCAGAGTGATGTTCTTGTTGGCCCTGCAGACGACACACACACAACAGTTAGTCAGTCACATCACTGGAACTGAATCAGGGTTGACCCCCTCCGGTTCCTTCTTCTCAAAGTCAACATTAGCTGCCTTGAGTTTAGCAGTGGCGGCGTGAAGTCAAGTGACCGTGCTCTAGTTCCTTTATAATCTAATGTTAGATTTCTACTTTTAGCTGTTGCACTTACTCTTCAAAAATCACCAAGTGTTGTTAATATGTGGAGATCATCCTGCTGAACAACAACGCTACATGTCATGAACGTGCATTTGTCAGATCTTATTTCTGCTATAACCCTAAACCCAGTGGAAACATCCCGCTGCTTTTTGTGCTCCTTGGGGATAACTTCCTGGTTGGCCTAAACAAAGATGTCATCACTGCATCCCTGTATCAGCTGCGGCAGGATGTATGTGAGGCTTAAAGTGTGAGGTTTGAAATATGTGGGCGTGTATCAGACAGGGAGGCTCTAATAAAGATGCTATTGAATTGCAATATAGGAAATGCTTTGGTGACTGACCCAGACTGCAGATGGTTCAAATGATTCTTTTTTGAATTAGTCCTGAGTGTATGTTTAGGTCCACTAGTTCCCTGATAACCCCTAAAGAACCCTGTGATCATATTGAACAGGAATGTGTCTTATCCAATCAGTAGAAATATGTCATTGTTATATTTAGCAGAGCGCCCTGTAAGAGACGTGTCAGTTGTATCTGGAAGGAGCTAAACAATGTGATGCCAGGCAAGCAAGAAAAGAGTGGGGTTTCGATGGAAGATCCCAGATCACTTGACCTGTGCACTGACACTGAACTGCTGTCAGTGTTGTTAAGGGTTGAATGCCTCACACTGTGTCTGTGGGAGTGTCTCACCTCAGTCCATTCCCATCATCAAAGAAGAAGTATTTGGACTTCACGTCTCTGAGGCTCAGTTTGGTGTTTTCCCCTCGAAGGACGATCTTATCCCACAAAACCACCTGGTTCAGAGCCTGACACACACACACACACACACACACACACACACACACACACACACACACACACACACACACACACACACACACACACACACACACACACACACACACACACACACACACACACACACACACACACACACACACACACACACACACACACACACACACACACACACACACACACACACACACACACACACACACACACACACACACAAATAACAAGATGAACATCAACATTATAAGCTTTGTAAAAGGTAGAGTATGGGGCATCCATATTATAGGTGTACCTAATGCAGTGACCAGGAAGTGTTTACTGTCAGGATTCATTTTAGGTTCTAACATCAAACCTACGGTCCGATTCAGGCATTTCTTTTGTGGATTCATTTTGAAGATTTGATAATGTGTCACACATTTTGTATGGACATCTGTCATCATGCACTCTGTGTGTGTGTGTGTGTGTGTGTCTGTGTGTGTGTGTGTGTGTGTGTGTTGTGTGTGTGTGTGTGTGTGTGTGTGTGTGTGTGTGTGTGTGTGTGTGTGTGTGTGTGTGTGTGTGTGTGTGTGTGTGTGTGTGTGTCTTACATTGCTCCTCGTGGCGTACTCAGCAGACAGATAGAGGAAGAGCTGCTTGACGTTCCAGTCGAAGATGGGCTGCAGATGTGGGAGGAGTTAAGGAAGCAGAGAGGACAGAAGCTGTTCATATTAGAGGCCTGTTTATGTGAGGATTCATTCAACTGCGTTCTGTAAGTGTGGGGTGATTTTAAAATAGTTGAGTGCCGATAGGTACAACAACAACAACAACAACAACAACGACGACGAGATGCGTTACATGTCACTAACAAGGACTAGAAGCTGGCCAACAAGCGGCCGCTGCCTGGAACTCAAAAAGATGCCTTGTAACTTCAATTCATTTGATTTTGGTTGCAGTGTTCTAAAGGATATCAGACGAGAGGTCAAAGGTGAGGAAACCCAGATCACTGCGCTCCCTGGGTCCTGTGAAGTCATCCACGTTCTTCCTGTTGAACAGACAGAGGAGGTGGATGTACAAACTGAAGTCCACTGAGACAAATGTAACATTTGTGATATTGGGCTATATAAATAACATTGATTGATTGATTGATTGATTGATTGATGAGAGGAAGGAGTAACAGGAGTTAAACAAACATTTAGGAAAGAGGTTCCTTTAGAAAGGGCAATGCATAAACTTCATTTGTGTTATTTACACAGCGTGATCCCAAGTACTAATGTACCTTTTGGAGAGATTTCCAAAACCACAAACTATTTCAAATAGAAATGATTCAACCTTGGATTGACTAATCGGTTAACCATTTGTTTACTGAGCTCATGCTGCATTTCTGACTGCAGCTGAAAGACTTGAATTCAATAGCGAAATGGTTTCTGTACCCTGGGCGGTTCAGTCATTTCACAGCTGTGTCCATGTGTCAAGTAACAGTGTAACATGGATGTAATAGGGATGTATATATGTGTAATCTAAGTGTAATAACAGTGTAATTACGGTAAAAAAAAATGCGTGTTACATGGGTATTATAACAACAGTGTTGTATGGGTGCAGTAACAGTGTAATATATGGGTTTAATAAGAGTGTATTCATGTGTAATATTGGCGTTATAACATTGTAATAAGGGTGTAATGTAGAAAGTAGCTATCAATTTTCCAAAGTATGTGACTGCCCATTTAAGGGTTAAATTGTTCGAGTAAGCAGCTGATCACTGCTTGATTACTCTAAACATGAATGGCTTGTTCGACTTCCGGCTTCCGTTGGTCAGTGAATAGTGTCAAACTACAAAAGCAGGCCTGCAGCTTCTCAACCTCTCATTGTTCAGGTTGCATGTAACGTTAAGAGCGTTGTAGCATCAGTAATAAACCATGCATAGCTGTGATAGAGTATACTAAGGTAGAGTCATTGCTAACAGCTGTTACACATGATAGTAGACGGAGGAACTTACAGCATGACTTTAGAGACGTGGATGTCCACAGGAACCCTTCTGTCTTTGAATGCTGTCGTGACGAAACAGCCGAAAGTTAAGGCCGCCATGACGCTCAGGGAGAAGGCGAACAACGAGTTAGCCCTTGAAAGAACCGTATTCATCTTTGAAAAGCAGCTTGGACTCCAGGAAACGATAAGAATAAGAGAAATCCAAAGAGAGGCTTATCACACAGCCTGTGCGCGGTTGCTAGCTACTG